GGCTCCCAGTAGCTGTGGCCCCCTGAGCTGCTGGCTCCCAGTAGCTGCGGCCCCTGAGCTGCTCGGGACCCCAGTGTGGGTCATGAAGCATCAAGAAGGGAACCTTAAATCAGAGGTTCCCAACCCTGGTCCTTGAGGAACACCATCCTGCATGTTTTAGTTGTTTCTCTGCTCCAACACAGATTCTGTGATTTAATTACTTCCTCGTGTTCTGCGGAAGCCTGTAAAGCACATGTTTATTAAAATCAGGTGTGTTGGAGCAGAGAAACAACTAAAACATGCAGAGTGGTGTTCCTCAGGGACCAGGGTTCGGAACCCCTGCCTTAGATAAACTCCAGATATTAAGTGAGTTTTGATAAATTCATAGCATGTTACCATTACTGTTAGAAGGAATACAAACTGTAGTAATAAATTGTGGCTCTTAGGGATGTTTGTGTTGTCGTCAAGTCTTTGTTTAATAAAGTGATTTTTGTTTATTTAAACTGGCAATAGATGTCACAAACCTGAGTCTTTATGATTCTGTAGGTCAGAAGCTTTTAAGTTTAAGATCCACTGATCTGAGGGGCTGCACTCGGAACGTGTCGTTTCATTTGAGAAGTTTAGAATCGTCTTTTTTTAGAAAATGGAATAGGAAATAAAGTCTGGAAACTCAAAGTATTTTCAGACTGTAGAAGAATCGTGTTGGATTTCAGCCCATGAGTCAGAAGAGGTCCTAACTCACATTGTCCAGTCTCCTTCCACAAAGAACCTCCTTCACTTTGTGCTTTTTTTTAATGTTTCTGCTGAACGCTGCGGTCGAGAAACACCCGTCTACAGTCATCCTGAAACCGCAGACCGGCCGGAGCAGAAGACTTCCTTAATGAATCCGGGGTCGCATTCCAGCAAACAAAGACTTGAGCTCAGAGCCAGACAACCTGTGACCTCTGCAACATGTACGAGTCTTTTCACACACACACAGCCGGCTCCGGCTACAAGCGCTCGTTATATCGTTCAAAGTACGAGCTGGATTTTTACTGAGCTGCAGAGAAGACAAGGCCACGCCGTCTGGACGTGTGTGGTTCTCCTCGTGGAGCGACAGCAGCACATTCACGACGGCGTCGGCTTTAAAACGGCTTCTAACGAGTCCCAGAATTTAATGCTGCGAGTCGCAAGAAAACTTCAGCTTCCTTCAACAACAGTGATAAAACCTTCATTTATGGAATTAAAATACTTTTTTTTTTTTTACCTACTTAACAGGAAACAATTACAAACCTGTGTAAAACTAATTTATTTACATTTGGTCTAAAACAAAAAATCAAAAGAACTGAATATTAATGTCGTCTTAACATAAAAAGTTGTTTCCAGCTGTGCAGTTTTAGAGCTTACTCCAGCAGTTTTTCAGATATATTGATATTAAATTCTGAAATGCAGGTACGCGCTGAGTGTAAACAAAACACTTGGCTGAATCCACCGAAAATAACGTGGAAGCTCGAGTCACGTGACCGACCTTCGTTACGCAGGTCATAGTCTGCGTTGGTGAACAAAGTCAGAAAGTTCAGCTGCTTCTCTATGTAAACAAACTCTTATAGACCATGAACGCAATTCGCAACATTTGATTGTTTATTTTTTAAAGTTTAGGACAAATTAACCATCAACTTGAGAAAAAATATTGCACAGATTTTACTTTTACTTTCTTCTGGTTTTCATGATTTTGCAATTCGAACCTTTGATTTGTCGTGCCGTCCATAAAACAACCACTCTGATGTGCTCGAGCATTAAATGTATAATTTATGGTAACGTTTTAAATGTATAATTTATGGAAATGTTTAGGTGCATGTCTGAAAGAGTGAAGAACAAAAGCGTGCTCACCTCTCTGCATCAAGGGGCTCGGCTGGTTGAGGAGCGTTGCCAGTCCGTGGTAAATGGCTCCCTGCTTGGCGACCTCCAGCGTCACGACTGAGCCCGTCCTCGTCATCAGCTCTGCAGCCCTGCACACGCACACACACGTGCACACACATCAATCTTCCAACTTCAAGGGAAGTTCTCTCCCTGATGTTTCAACACGTCTCTTGGGTGTTTAACCGTCTTGTTTAGCTGTAACGAGCTGCATCTTTGATCAAAGTGCTTCGTGAATCCATTTACACGTCTTCGCTCCACTGCATCATCTCAGGACCAAATCAAACGTAAAGCGACAACCGGTGGCTGTGACAGAAACTCTACCCTGAAAGTCGAGCTCAGCATCAGCGCAGACACGAGCAGAGTACACTTAAATACAAATAACAGAGTATATACATATGTACGTTATACTACGTGATTACAGTGGGGAGAAAAAGAAAGTCCACACTTTCTCAGATTTACAGGTTTACATTTGAGGACTTAAAGTCCACGCTCAATAATCCAGGGGTACAATCCAACAATTTTCAGTCAGGTCATCTGACAGTTTCTTTTTTTTTTGTGCTGAAACGTTTCACCTTCCATCCTTGACTGATGAAGCCTTCTGGATGGAAGGTGAAACGTTTCAGCACAAAAAAAAATAA